CATTTTCTGTTACACTCAGACTCTGTGCTTGCAAGAGGGGAAGTATTGCCTCTTAGAGGCGCCCAGGGGGTGGTATGTAATTGTCCCAGGTCACTGGGTGGGGGCTCCAGCCAGTTTTGCATTGCGTTATTGAAACGGAACCCCTAGATACAGAACCCGGCCCTTGTTGCTGCCAACTTAGATGGGCAGAAGGGTTACAATAGGATTGGTTGAGAAAAAATGCATTCTATGACATAGTTGTAAAACAGCTTCTGTTTGGTCCAATGTAGTTTCCTCCTGAGGCTTGCCGCCCAGAACAGCTATCATTTAACTACTGGCAGTTGTTGAGGTACCATACTTCGCTCTGCATATATTCAGTAGCAGACTCTCTTGTGGCTTTATTTTTTCTTTCTTTCTCTAAAACCCTTTTTTCTTTGCCCTATGCTTATTTTTCCCTCTCTTTCTATTCTTTAAATCCCTCTCTCCTTACTAAACCTAACCAAAAAATATTTCTTTTCTTTAATAACCAACTTCTTTCAACCCACTCTCTTAACCCACCTTTATAATTTCCTCTTTTATTCAATAAACCTTTTGCTTTTTTAAATTTATTTCAAATTTTTTTATTCTTTAATTCTTTTCTATTTTTCTATTCTTTTTATTCCTTTTCAAACTTTTTCTTTAAAACCGTCTCTCCTTACTAACCCTAAACAAAAATATTTCTTTTCTTTAATAGCCAACCTCTCTCCTTACTAAACCTAACTAAACAATCTTACTTTGTAAAAAATCTTTAAGTCCTCTCTTTCTGTTCTTTCAAGCTTTTTCTCTAAATAATCAGCTGAATGTGACAAAACACAAGCACACAACATTCCCCGTCCAAACATAGAAAATGGCTGATGGCACCAAACCTGTACATGACCTAAAATGGAAACAGAGTAGGGGACAGAAACCCTAAACAGGGCGTGGAAACCTATCAAAGAATACATGGTGCTGAGTACTATTGAACCGTATATTACTCACATATTCCCCCACTGACTGTACTGTTTCCTCAGTACTGCCCTCCCAAAAGTCACAAATTAAGACTAGCAGTCCCCTCACTTGCCTTCTATACAGGAGACCGAAGGGAGCAAAGCCAGTAGATTCTTGGGGTACACTCCTGTATGCATACAGAAGGAACGGGAGCAACAAATCCCAATTGTTCCGTTGCCTGGAAACATACATTCTAAACATAGCTTTCCAGGTTCCATTGAATCTTTACAGAAGCCCATTAATTTCGAGGTGATATGGCTCAGCACTTATATGCGTTACCCCATCTAACTCCCATAACTTCTTAAAGACAACAGACATAAAATTTGCACCCTGGTCTGTCAAAATTTCTCTGCTGAAAATAGTGAATAAAACTGTAGCCATTCTTTGAGCCTCAATATTAGACAATGCTGTGGCCTTGGGGTGCCTGGTAGCTGAATCTAGCACAATCAGTATATACTTTTTTCCACTTGTGGAAGGTTTAGGCGTTGTCTACACTGCCTAGTTTTTTTGCCCAAAGTCAGCTTTGGGTGATGAAATAGTGGAGGTGTACGCACTGCAAAGGCACTTTAGGCAACAAAACTCCTCAATTTCAGCGATGTAATAAAACCACCTTGACGAGAGTCATAAGGCTTTTTATGCAAATGTTTTATCACCACCAGGCCAGTGTAGACACCACACTTCATTTTATTGCTATAATTGGCCTCCGGAAGGTGTCCCACAATGCCCATCCTGACCACTCTGGTCAGCAGTTACAACTCCACTGCCCTGTAGACAGGTAAACACCCCTCTTCCCCACCCCCTTTAAAGTCCCAGAAATATTGAAATTCCCCTTCCTGTTCGCTCGGTGTTGAGTGCTCACAGCTCATCTTCCCAGGTGGCCATGGCGGCTCTATGCAGCAAACAGTCTCCTGCTTGGAGCAATGCGGACCTGTTGGATCTGATCAGTATTTGGGGAGAGGAGGCTGTGCAGTCCCAGCTGCACCCCAGCCATAGGAATTTCGATACCTAAGGCCAGATTTCAAGAGGCTTGCGGAAAAAGGACTATGATCAGGACATGCTGCAGTGCAGAGCAAAGGTGAAGGAGCT